ATTGAAGAGCAGATTTCGCTCATGATTACCCGACCTGTTTCTTGCTCGCCGATGTAGAACTGATTTTGCTCACCCACCTAGCTGATTTCGCCGGACTGCACAAACAGAATCAATTTCGCCCAACTTATATTGCAACCGAGTTGACATTGTTCGCCCGCTTAAAATGTTGGTGTCTTTACCGAGCTCTTATTTAAACCGAGCTGACCTTGCTCAGCCTACCAAATAGTTGGTGTTGTGTACAATTAATATTTTAAACCAAGATGAGTTTGCTTGTTAAACTAAGACCATTACGCTTAGAATGCACCAAGAAGATTTTATCTCAGCCAAATCGAAGAAAATGACAACCATAGTGCAAACAAAAATTTGCATACATGGCGAGGAAAATGTTCACTTTTCGTTCATGATAAAGCCTGATTACAAAAGTGGGGCTCGTAGCTAGCTACATCAATACAAAAAAAAAGAAAAAAAAAAGAAGGGGACAAACATAAGCCTAGCTACGCCTTACTCGATATCTACAGCGTCCTCCAGGTTGCCCATCACCTCTTCTACCACATTCTGTGCGGTTTCAGCGCCAGAGTCCATTCCTTGTTCCTCGGTTGAAGGCTTCTGCTCACTGCTCGGCGCTGCCTCTTTCAATATGGTTGGCAGTGGGGTCTTCTCGGTTGGCTGTAGAGTTAGCTCATCGACCGCACTGGCCTCCTTAGCATCGTCTATCAACTTCTACTGCATGACAGCAGCATATGCCTGCATATAGGAGGTAATGAAGGTAGGCGGGCGGTTATTGAACACCTCGGACACCGGCTTTGGTGTCGTCAGCGTATCCCCGATCTTTGGTGTCGTCCACTTCTTTTTTTAGCTTAGCCTTGTGGATGGCGCGAAGCTTGGGTAGCTTGGCCAGATATCTCTTATTTTTGGCCTGCACGGCCTTATCCTTCTCCTCCTTGGCCTTCGCTAACTTCTCATCCAGGAGATCTCGTTGTGTTAACATTGCCTTGTATGCAGTCTTCAGCTTCTCCAGCTCAGCCGTCTTGGCTTTGTTATCTGCGATAGCCTCCCTCAAACTCTGCAGCACATCAATCATACGTTCGTGCACCAAACAGTTTTTTTGTGCGGCCTGCAGCAAGGTAGAAGTTAGTATGAGAAATCGATCGATAACTTCGAAGTACAATAACTCGATCACTTACAGAACAACCGATTTTGCGGCTGACCAGAGGACTTTTAGGTAAGACAGTTCCTTATGCTTCTTCATGTCCGCAGGGAGAAGCAAACCCTTGGTCATGCTAAAGCCGAGCGAATGGTCCTTATTCGCGTAAACGGAGTCTGCCTCCATCACTGCTCGGCCTTTGTATTTTAACTCGGGTGACCAAATTATAGGGCAGTGGAATGGGCGGATTGCCCGAAAAGCGGTTGTTCAGTCTGCCCTCCTTGTTCAGTCGATGGTAGCTTGGTCGAATCTTCGTCAACAAGGCGTTACTCGGCTTGCTCCTTTCTTGGCCTTTTTCCTGATCGACTAGCAGCTGCCACGCTGGCAAGAGCTAGCACGGGCCCCTTTTGCACAGTAGGCCTAGATGTTCGACGTCCTGTCGTTCCAACCGGTTATGAGTCACTTGGCCCCCCTGTGATCATAGACTTTATGGCTCAGATTTTGGCCATTTCTTGTTCTTCTGTCAATGGTACAAGTTTGATTGGCGGAAGGTTTGGGTCCGGCTCTGGAGAGGGGACATGAAGGAAGTCGGTCAGCCTGCTCTTGCGCGGCACTGTGTAACGGTAACTTGGTTCGTAACTGAGCAATTTTTGAGTCTCTCGCTCCTCGGTCGGATGCCACAATGCAATCCTTGTGGCCTCTTGGTTCGTGCGAGAGTAATCGTCGGCCAAGAGTCTGTAGTCTGCAACAAGAAAGCAAAGGTAAGATGCTAAGGTGCTCACCAGCACTCCTAACATCTTTTCTTATGTACCAGCCCGGCATGGGTGTTTTGTTGTCCTCGTCATTACTGGACACCCACAGGAAATCATCATCGTTTGTCTCTTTATCCAAGTTACCTTCGATAAGGTTTGCTTGGCCTTTCCTAACTTTGAGATACCAACAAAACCCCCCTTTATTTTTGCTAAGTGTGTATTGATGGAATATCTCGATGAGGCTGAGATTCAGGCGGAGTATCCTATTCAGCGCAGTCATGCCGTTTATTATTTTGTGTGTGTTTTTAGAGACTTGGGTCGAGCACAGCCTAGTCTGCCTCAAATATTTGCAGACTAAGGGTTGGACCGGGAAGCGTAGGCTGTCTTCCATAATGGATACCACCGTGAAAGGGCATTTGTCCAATTTGCCCCAGGGAGCGTCTCCTTTCTTGGCCAGCTCTAAGTGGACGTCATCTGGAATATTGTATTCTCTACGAAACTCGGCCATTGCCCGAGGCGAATTAACTATAAACCGGTACCTCCCCATCTATCCCAGTTTTATTTAGTTGGGTAATTTTGATTATAGCTCAGTCAAAATTAGGTGATTGTTTGCCCGGTCTTTGAACCTCACCGACAGTTATGCTGAGTGGGCTTGGTCGGTCCTAGTTTGCTCTGCACTATTAAAAAATAAGTCCAAGTATTAGCACGGCATAACTTGCACGGCTCCTATGAGGAATTTTTTTAGCTCGGTCTGAGATTCTGGGCCATTTGACTGGTTGTGGTGCTGTATTTCGTTCCTATCTCGGTTCGATCCTCCCACAGGGAGGACCTCGAACCTGTTCTGGCTCGGCTAAATCCTATTTTTAGATCTAAAAGTGGGTTTTTGATCGGTTCTACCTAGAGTTTTCAGTATTCATCCTAAATCCAGAACCACCTACAGTAATCAAGGGAAATAAGGGGCAAGGAAGCCCCGTTGCTACTTAGGGCTTCGATTTGGCCTAATGCTCATAGATATTAATCCCCGAAGAGGGCATAGGCGATATTTTAGTAGTCACGAAACAGACAAAAATTAAGAACACGAAGAACATCAATGGAGAATATAAAGGAAAATGAGAAAAACTTAAGAGTATGGATGCCAAGTCAGGACCCAGTCGACCACGACCCTTACTGAGGCCTTCGTGAGGACAGAAATAGCTTGAAACGACTGGAAAAGCAACAACAACAGCGACGACGGTGGTGACAGAAGCTTGGAGGTCTGAAGCTTAGGGTTTCTGTAGAACGGAGATGAATAATGACGAGGGTTTTTGGGCTTCCTGTGTGTATATATGGGGGAAACCGAATTGGCGGCAACTTTTCAAATCTTTGGTATAATGTGGACAACTATAGGTACACACAGAACCAGTTAGGGAAGGCCACGTGGCGTTGAAAAGATGGTTTGTCAGTATAGTTGATTGATTGATGACAAAACTACTGGCGCAATCCTCAATGGCCGACCAAATTGGATAACTTAGCCGGAGTAGTAATTCCAATCACACTTAGCTCGGATGGGATGAAGGGGCAATTAAGAGGGAGATATGGGCCAAACAATTAGGCCGAGCTACGTCAGCGTGGGATATGGCGTTGTGCCTCGCTAGGGCCAAGGACCATGAACTTGGCCGAACTGAACCAACGCGGCTGGCCCGGCCCATTAAGTTGGGCCGGGCAAGCCGATCGAGCAATGTTTCGGCTAAAATGAAATTTTGCTTAAATTCGTACTGATGCGTTGGGCCGAACTACGAACTGTCTGGACTGACGTAGGGCCAAGGAGTCCTACGAGGTAGCGGGGCGAGGCCGAGATGCCAAACCGCGCGTCCTACGGCCAGTTGATCCCAATGGACCGCTTAATTTTTTCTCGACCGTTCCAATTCGTTGTGGTGTCTGTTTCTTCCAAGTGATAGCCTAGTAGTGTAAGCCACCTGGACCAATGGTAAAGCAGAGAAAATCCACTCCTGGAATGCGTCAATACCGTTTGGCAGTTCGACAAACACTGTTTGGAGGTTTTGGTCTCTACACGTGTACGAAAGGTAGAGAGGGGAGCACAACCGCCTACCTAAAGAAGGATAGCAGAGGTAGTGCACCCATAATCTCTGAGGCTGCATGGCTAGCCTAGAAAAAGAGGAGAAGAGAGATGTTAGAGGTAAGCAATTAGAAGGAATTCCAAACTCTCTCACACTAAAGTGCTCTCTATTCTTCTTCTTCTTCTTCTCTAAGTATGTTGACTTGATCATCGGAGGGTTTATCCGGCAGCACACCGCTGGGCAGCTCAGCATCTTTTGGTTTTCACATCAGGCGACGTCACGTGAAGCTTGGATTCAAGGAGTACGGAGAATAGAGAAAATTTCACCCCTGTGCAATTGGCGCCGTCTGTAGGAACTCTTTGATAGAAAAACCTTGTTGGGCAAGCTTTTTCAACCGTTTCCATGGCTAACAACGACGAAGCACCACTGTCTATTGTCGATGGTATCACACCAGAGTCTGTCTGATGGAGAGATGGCCCTCCCACTATTCCGACTATGGCGAACCTGGAAACCTTTTCTGGAAGTGCGCCAGATAAATGCACAAGGAGCGCTGAACACTTCAAGAATCCAGAGGGCCGACAACAATGAGGAGAGTCACATGCTCAGCGCTTGGAACACAAACTTAGAGACCAAGGCACCTTCATTAAGAAGATGGCGGCCGAAATGGATATGCTGAAGCGCCAGATCAAAGGGAAGGGTGTTGCTAGAGTGGGCAACCACAGTGAGTGCACCCCACTCCGTCGCTCTGACAGTCATCGCCAAGATGGGACACCCTCTTTCTCTATCTCCAGAAGCTATGGAGTTGGAGACTCTGATCCACGAGTGGAGAGATCTCACACTCGCGATAGTAGTTACCGTCCCTCATGTCCGTCGACGACGTCAAAATACTCTTAGTCTGCCCATTCGGGAGACCTGAGGGATGTATTGGAGGAGCGAGCTCGCCGTAGAGAGACCCAAAGATTGCCAGCGTTGCAAAGGCTGAGTCCTTAAATCCATTGCAGTGAGGAAGTGGCAATGGCAACGCCTAGAATGATGGCCCCAGCACCGATGGATAGAGAGCTAGCAAGATTTACCGCTACCCCACTGTCCCCAGAGATCGAGAGCATGACACTCCCTGCCGGATTCCACCAACCTAAGTTCACACTGTACAACGACAAAATGGATCAGCACATGCACGTGAGTCATTACTGGCAAGTAATGGCTCGCCACCGGCGTAATGACGCCTTGATGTGTCTTCTATTCCCAGCAAGTTTGGGAGAACTAGGCCTGAAGTGGTTCGAAAGACTCCCGAAGGGGAGCATCGAGGAGCGGCAACAACTAGTAGAGGTCTTTGTCACTAGATTCAAAACCAACACTCGAACACCGAAGGAGGTTGGCCATCTGTTGAGCATCAAGATTGAATCTGGAGGTTCTTTGAAGGCATACAATGCCAAGTATTGGGAAACTTACAATGAGATCATCGATTGCCCCATCAATCTCGTGATAGCACAATACAAACAAGGTCTCCCAATCGGACATAGGCTGCGAGACTCACTTACGATGGACCAGCCCACAACCATGGAGTCCTTGATGCAGCAGATCAACGAACATACCCGAGTAGAAGATGATGCCGCCACCGCCACCGCAACTGAGAAGGAAAATATGGTTGCGGCGGATAGAAGAGTGGCAGGGAAGGTTCACTCGGTGGGGCAGGTGGACAACTGCCCTAATGACCGAGCTAGACTAACATCGCAGTTTAAACCGCAATGATAGAAACAAAAGTCGTAGAAACAACTGAGCTAACGCTCTTCGTAGTGAAGAGGAAGATGCCAAGAGGAAGTTGAAAGCACGAGTCGGCATCACCACTGGCTTTAAGATCCCAATTTATCTGCATCCTAAATGAGATTCGAGGGGAGCCCTACGTGCATTGGCTGACAAAATTGGAAGACATACAGAGGGGCTTCAACTTGCGGTATCGCTGTACCTTCCATGAAGAAAAGGGGCACCGAATGAAGGGCTGTGTGCCGCCCAAACAACGTTTGGAGGAGCTGGTGGCAGCTGGGCATCTGGACCAGCACATAGACAAGGGTATGAGAGTGTAGACGTCCCCAAACGCCCCGGGAGGATGAATGTCGTTCTGTTCGTTTTGGGCTCACTACAGTTTGGACTCAAATTGTCACGATTCTAAATCAGAACCAAAAAGTACAAATCCGACAAATCGTTTTGGAAAACTGATTTTTGCAAAGAAGTGCCAAACATGGATTGCTTTGCGAGATACAGAGTCGCCTCCTAAATATTTTATTTTGGTGGAATTTAGGAAACCCTGACTCGTTTGCCTAAGGCCACGTGTCCGTCATCACTAAAGTTGCCTCGGCTCGGGAACTTGGGTATGATTGGAGAAGGTCAGCTATGAGCACCCCCTCTCGCCCGATCTGAAGATCGGCCTCTACTAACCATGATATCTAGTTTTGAAAAACATTATGCGTTCTTATTCCGGTTATTAGCCTAGATTTAATACGTGATGCGCACAACAAAACAAGTATAGACTAAATTGCTTAAGTCGTAACAAAGCATCGCATTTCCGTTTGTTTGGAAGATGGTTTGAATTTTGCTACTCGCGAGTAGACTAAAATACGAATTTCGATGAATTATCCCAATTCAAACAACCCAACCTTCACCCACAGGCATTCGTGCAGTTATATCACATAAGCATATAGCCACATGGTAAGCATGCTATCATGGCAACACTTACACTCATGCAAGGATGCTAAAACGTAAATGCTGACCGAGTACTCAAAGCCAAAACAGAAACTAGTTAATAATCATATGCATGACCCTAGTTCATGTTAAGATGGCTAACGCAACACATCCAAGATGCAACTACAATAGGCCCAGCTATTCTAAGATGGCATATGATGATGCTACAACTAACACATATTCAACTTGGAATTGAAATACAATACAGTTAGTATGATGCGCCATGACAAATATATGGATGCACGCATGCATAGCATAAGGTATGCTAATTTAAATATGCCCTAATACTAACCATTGAAAGCAGGTAAGTAAAAAAGAGAAAGAAGTGGGGGTTGGAAGACATACACACACTCACCCACACTTATTACCAATTCGCCCTCGCTCTGAGGGACCAAAAGAATAATACAATTAATTAACCTACAAGCTAATTAATTATTACCGACAAATTAAACTAGTTAAGCAAATTAACTAATCTAATAAAACAGTAAATAGCCTCAGGAAGAGGGCCCAATGAAATGCATGCTTGGTTCCGTTCGGAAGTCCACTGCCATGCACGAGTTGCCTTTGTTTTTACGGTTTGGAACCTCTGAAAATTGAACAAACTCCAAGGTTGCTTCTCTGAGTGCTGTGGAACACCACCGGCTATGAGGAATGGTCGCCGGCCATGGGGAATGGTCATCGACCACCTGTGGAGATATCGGCCAAAAATTGTTGCTCGGTCGGCACTGTGTGTAGCCGACCGGCCCAAACTTCCTACAGAACCTGTTTCGACAGCAGCAGAGGGAAAAACAAGGCATGGCAATGCATTTCAAGCAAATGTGTGCACCAACACATCCCTTATCATGTTTGTGACTTAAAGGGACATGGTTCTCGATTCTCGGACCACCAATCGCGTATTTCAATGCGTGATGGCCCAAGAAACCAAGTATGCACTTTGATTTCAAATGAGATGCACATCAAACAAACAAGTGAGGCTCAACCATGGTTGCATCTCCATAGAAATGCAAGTATGCACTTTCATCTCTTGCATGCACTTTCATCAAACAAACAAGTGAGGCTCAACCAAGTATGCACTTTCATCTCTTGCATCTCGATCCTCGGACCATCATCTCTTGCATCTCCATCACCTTGTCAAAGAGATGATGGAGATGCAAAGTCTGTCTACCATAGAAAAGGTGCCGCAACCCTCAAACCAACATACAAGCATGGAATAGGTGCGTACACATGCAGAACTATGAGTGATGTAGACGGACACAAGAACAAGTAATTGGGTGGAATGACATAAGTGGGGAAGTGACCCGCTGAGGAAAGACCATGACCTTAATGCTGGATGCGAAAATTACACTACAATGTAATATATACAATGGATATGGCGTGTGGGCCAAACCAAATCTTGCCTAGGAAAGGCATGTACAGATACAAGCCATGTCTAACACAGAAAAGGTGCCGCAACCCTCAAACCACAATATCAGCAGTGGAATAGGCGCGTACACATGCAGAATTATGCTTCAACGAGAAAAATATGGACACATACCAGACCAAGCTCAACATGAAAAGGCGCAAGCCATAGATGGATGTGATGCAGTGGATGCATGCAATCTACAATGCAATTAATACAATATGCAATGGTTGGGTTCAATATTTACAGTGAATGCATGACATATGCAGTTTATAATGAAATGCATGACATATGCAATATTTACAATGCATGCACGACATATGCACTATTTACGATGAAATGCATGACAAATGCACTATATACAGTGGATGCATGACAGATGCATGAAAATGCATGATAATGCATGCTATTTACAGTGCATGACATATGCATGTTTTTTTTGAAATGCAAATGATGCATGTGTTTTTTTTTTGAAATGCATGTTGTCTGGAATGCGTGACAACACAAGTTGCTTGAAATGCATGAAAATGCATGATTTCGAAATGCGCAACAATGCGCGGCTTGAGATGCATAAAAATGCATGATTTTATTGTTGTTTTTTTTAAATACATGAGAATGCATGATTTTGAAATGCGCGACAATGCGCGACTTCTGAGATGCATGACAATGCAAATGAGGAAGATGCATAACAACGCATGTAAGGTGCGTATAGCAATGCGTGATGAGGATCATGCATGACAATGCAGACGCCAAAGGTTTTGCACCTTCGAAGGATTTAAGGTCTCCTAGACCGAGCGTATTTAAGGTCTCGCCAGACTGGGCGTATTTAAGGTCTCGCCGGACCGAGCGGGTTTAAGGTCTCGCCAGACCGAGGCGACTTAAAATGCAAAACAATGCAAGTAAGGTATGCGAGTGCAAGACAATGCAATCTAAGGTGAAGTCTAAACACGCTGAAATCGTGTGAGGAAAGGGGGCAGGGAGAAACATAAGGACATATCCCGGTGTTTCATAGTGGTTCAAGCATTGGAACGTATTCCAAATGCTCTTAACCAAAGAGGGAGAAACATAGGGACGTATCCCGTTGTTTTAGAGTGGTTCAAGCACTGGAACGTATTCCAAATGCTCTTAACCAAAGAGGGAGAAACATAGAGACGTATCCCGGTGCTCAGGGAAGAGAGAGAAACATAGGGACGTATCCCGGTGTTTCGAAAAGAAGAGAGAAACGTAGGGACGTATCTCGGTGTTTCGGAAAGAAGAGAGAAACGTAGGGGTGTATCCCGGTGTTTCGGAAAGAAGAGAGAAACGTAGGGATGTATCTCGATGTTTCGAAAGGAAGGAGTAATGTAGGGACGTATCCCGATGTTTCAAAAAGAAGAGAGAAACGTAGGGACGTATCCCCGTGTCTAGGAAGGAAGAAGAAACATAAGGACGTATCCCGGTGTTTCAAGAACAGAGAAAAACGTTGGGACGTATCCCAGTGTCTCGGAACTAAAGAGTGTGCATAACAATGCGATTGAATTGTGCATAACAATGCAAGTAGAACGTGCGTGATAACGCAAGTCAAAGAGGTGCATGATAATGCAAGTTGTACGGTGCATAACAATGCAGACAGAGTGTGCATAACAATGCAAAGAGAACGGTGCATAGCAAAGCATTTTCAGTGTAACATCAACAGCATGTTTGAAGTAAACTACTGAATAAGGAAAGACACACCTTAATGAGACCAATTCAAACGTAACCTCCGATTTACCTCTCGGAGGACTTGGCAACACGCCCAGCTCAAAAAGGGCACACCCTGTTTGTATTGGCGAGAGATAACATCTGCAGTTGCTTTAATTGCCATTCTGGCTTTGAAACAGTCTTACACTTGGGGTCGAGATACACTCATACTCCAGAGAAACGGCGAGGCCTAAGAAGGTGCACCTGGAATGCAGTCTCGGAATTTGCAGAAGTTGAAACAATCTCAGATGCTCCAAATTTTCCCTCTTTCCTTTGGCTTTGCAGTCCGAAACCAATATAGCCTCAGATAGGTCCTGGTTTTACTGTTCTCACATGACCTGGGTTGAACCCTGTGGTTTTATGAAAGAACAAATCCAGTTTTGCACAAATGTGGAGAATGACACAGCACTCTGAGCACAAGATGATTTTTTTGGAATTGAGAAATGAGTTCTTAACGGGGTATTGAGCCGACGACTGGCCACAGCCAAAATGACTCGACAAAGGAAAAACAAAGGTAAACAACCTAAACACATCGAGTAGCACTCGAAACGACTCAAAGAAAGAATTGAGACAAAACAAAAGACACGACACACAGACGCGTTACAAAGATGAGAGACCTCTTAGAACATGGGGAGCCAGTTTCAGCGGGTATTGTTTCCCACCCTCTCTCATTTGTGATTCTCACATCACTCTGACACTCAGCTCTTTTTTTTTCTCTCAAAACCCTTTTCTCGCTTTTTCTCTCAGCGCATATCTCTCTATTCTTCAATCTCTCATTTTTTGTCCCTCTCCTGGGTGGTTGATGGATAAACAGAAAGCTGTGGGCTCTTGCCCCTAGCATTCCACTAGATTCTTCTTCTTGTTCACAACAGTGAGTTTCTTCCACAGAGGGGCT